ACCTTGTGTTTTCTTATTACTTTCTCAAAAACTTTGCAGATCATAATCTCTCCTTTTAACTCATGAAGTCCAAGTGTCATTTTTGTAATGACAGTTGCTGGAAAAGCTCAGCAGGTCTGGCAGCATCTGTGAAGGGAATAAAAAGAGTTAACATTTCGGGTCCGGTGACACTTCCTCAGAACTGAAAGTTCACTGGACCCGAAACGTTAACTCTCTTTTTTTTCCCTTCACAAATGCTGCCAGACATGCTGAGCTTTTCCAGCAACTTTTTTTGTTCCTGATTTACAGCATCCACAGTTCTTTCGTTTTTTTTAAATCATTTTTGTAAACCTACATCGTACTCCTTCCAAGGCCAATATATCCTTCCTAAAGGTGTGGTGCCCAGATCTGCTCTCAGTACTCCATGGATTCTAACCAGGTTTATGCACAAGTGCAGCATAATTTCTGCATCCTTGTACGCTAGTCCTTTTGCTATAAAGGCCAGCACTCCATTAGTTTTCTTGGATTATTTTCTGTACCTGTTTGTCACAACTTAAAGGCCTACATACCTGAACCCCAAGTCTCTTTCAGCATTCACTGTATTTAACTTCATACCATCTAAAAACTACCCTGATCTATTCTCTTTTGGTCCAAAATGGATAACCTTACACCTGTTTACATTACACATTCACAGCATAAAATTACAATGAGATATTGATAGACTATCTACACTGTCTACAATGTCACCTCACTTTGTGTCATCAGCAAATCTGGATATATGACTTTCTATGCCATTATCCAAGTTATTTATAATGTGAAAAATTGAGGCCCCAGCAGATCCTTGTGGGAATCCACTGGTCACATCCTGCCAATTTGAGTACCTACTCATTATTCCCACTTTGTCACCTGCTATTCCGCCAAATCCCAACCTTGTCAGTAAATTGCCCTCAATTCCACAGACCTTACTTAACAGTTTCTTTTGTGGGACTGGATCAAATGCCCTCTGGAAGTCCATATAAACAACATCTATACACATTTCCCTGTCTACTGCCTTAGACACCTTTTCAAAAAAATTCAAAGCAGTATATTTAAAGTATTGGCAAAGGTCCGTAGCTTGGGTCGTGGGTGAGGTAGTTGACTTGCTCGCTGAGCTGGCTTGTTCTTGTTCAGACGTTTCGTCACCATATTCGGTGACATCATCAGCGAGGCCTCCGGTGAAGTGATGCTATTCTACTTTGTTTGGTCCGTTAGGGTGAGTCATTTCCGGTTTTGATCCGTATGGGTTTGTATATGGGGTCCAATTCTATATGTTTGTTGATTGCATTACGGGTGGAGAGCCATGCCTCTAGGAGTTCCCATACATGTCTATGTTTGGCTTGGGCTATGGTTACCTTACCTTGTCCCAGTTAAAATGATGGCCTTCATTGCCTGAGTATACCGATATTAAGGAGAGTTCGTTGTGCCGTTTTGCTGCTAGTTGATGTTCATGTTTTCTGATGGCTAGTTTCCTTCCTGTCTATCTGATGTAATGTTTGTGGCAGTCATTGCACGGTATTTTGTAAATCATATTGGTTCTGCATGTGGTGGGAATGGGGTCTTTAATCCTTGAGTGTTTGTGGGCTTGTGGGCTACCAGATTCCTAGTGGTCTTAGGAGTCTTGTTGTCATTTCCGATATCTTCTTGATGTCGGGCAATGTGGCCAGTGTGTTAGGGCGTACTGTGTCCTCTTGTGGTTGCCTGTTGAGTAGGCATCTGTGAATAAAGTTGCAGGGCTGTTTAAAGCGAGGATTTTGTATAGGTGCTCTTCCTCCTTCTTGCACAGTTCTGGAGTATTGGAGTGTGTCCTGGCCCGTTTAAATAGTGTCCTAATGCAGCTTTGTTTGAGAACATTGGAGTGGTTGCTGTGAAAGTTGAGGATTTGATCAGTGTGGGTTGCTTTTCTGTATACTCAGGTTTGGAGCTCCCCGTTGGTCATACGCAAAACTTTAACATCCAGAAACAGAAGTTGATTGTTGTTTTCTTCTTTCCTTGCGAATTTAATCCCTGCAAATACATTGTTGAGGTGGTGGTGGGTCTCTTCTAATTTGTTGTGTTTAATAATGACAAATGTGTTGTCAATTTAAGTTGAACGCAGGGAAGGGTGGTGTGTTCTAGTCTTTGCAATGACTGCTCCTGCAATCAGCCCTCAGATGGGTGACCCCATTGGTGTACTGTTGATCTGTTTGTATACTTGACCATTAAAGACGAAGTGTGTGGTGAGGCAGAGGTCTAGTAGATTAAGTATGTTGTCATCGCTGATGGAGCTGCTGGTTTGCACTGCTGCTCTCTCTAGTAATGTGGCCACTGTCTCTTTGGCTAGTGGGATGTTGATTGATATGAATAAAGCTGTGATGTCAAAGAACACAATAATCTCGTTGTCACTGATCTTTAAGTTCTTGAGGGTATTGAGGAAATCTTGAGTTGAGTGGATGGAATGGAGTGATCCGTCAACTAGGTGTTTCAATCTCTGTTGTAGGTCCTTGGCCAGTTTGTGTGAAAGAGTGCCTGTTAGGGAAACAATGGGTCTGAGGGGGATGTGTGGTTTGTGTAATTTAGGAAGTCCACAGAAGCGGGGGTTGTTCCAGCCTTCTGGTTTCGTTCTCATGTAGTCCGTCTTGGTTATTTGCCCTGCATCCTTTCGTCTTTTCAGTGTCTGCGTGATCCTAATACCTAGCTGCAGTGTTGGGTCTATTGCCACCTGTTGCTAAGTGGCTGTATGTGCAAGCAATGCCTGTACTTTCTTAACGTAGTCTGGTTTGTTCATAATGACGGTCATGCACCCTTTCTCTGCTCTGATTTGTTCAGGTTGTCCCCTTTGTTCCTTCTGTGTAGTGTGGGTATTATCGTTGGTTGGATAGCTTGCGGTGTTTCGTCCTTGAGTCTGTTGTCTTTTAATATAATCTCCAGGGTGAACATCAATTAGCAGCAAAACGACACAACGAACTCTCCTTAATATCGGTACACTCAGACAATGAAGGACATCAGTTTAACTGGGACAAGGTAACTATAGTTGCCCAAGCCAAACATAGACACGTATGGGAATTCCTAGAGGCATGATTCTCCAACCATAATGCAATCCACAAACATGTAGAATTGGACCCCATATACAAACCCCTACAGATCAAAACCGGAAATGACTCTACTCACCATAACGGACGAGACAGTATAAATTCCAAGCAGAGCAGAATAACATTGCTTCATTGGAGGCTCTACTGATGATGTCACCTAGCATGGTAACGAAACGTCTGAACAAGAACAAACCAGCTCGACAAGCAAGTCAACAACCTCATTCAAAGCAGTAGTTTGTCAGACATGACCTACCCGCCGTGAATCCAAGCTGGCTTTCCATGATTAACTGAAAATTTAAGATGTTCAGTTATCCCATCCTTGATTACAGACTCCAACAATTTCCCTATCACAGATGTGAAGCTACTTGGTCTATAATTCCCTGGTTTTCCTCTTTCACCATTCTTAAAATTTAAAATACAGTCTTAAACCCACTTTTCTCTTTCAAATTGGATGTAAAATTCAAATGACCTAGTGATCACTGCTAATCAATTCCATGACTGAGTTCATTAAATAATCCTGTCGCAGTATACAAGTCTAGTGTAGCAGGTTGGTTCGGAATGTGTTGCTCTAAGAGATTACCTTGAAAGAATCCCATGAGCTGTTCATCCAGGCTACCACTGCCAATCTGATTTTGTACATAGATGTTATGTACGTAGATTAAAATCACCCATAGCTGTTGCTGCTCCATTATCACAAGCACCCAGTATTATTTCTCATGTACTTTTGTCCTACATTGCGTTTACTATTAGGTGGCATGCAGACTAGTGACTTTTACCCCTACTATTCCTCATCTCCAGCCAAACGAATTTGACATCCTGATCTCCTGAAACAAGGTAACCTCCAATTATTGCACAAATGTACTCCTTTCTAGGTTTCTAGTCTTTTTGAATATCATAGCCCCTTTAATACGCAAGACTCAAACAGTGTCATCCTGTAGTCACATTTCGGGAATGACAATTAGATCATATTTACTTTCATGTGATCAATCCACAGAGGTCGAGATCTGTTAGTTCGGCAGAGCCTAAACATCCAAAAAGAGACTTTCCTACTTTGCATAAAATAGATATTCAACGCTAAAAACTCATTCTCAACAGCACCACCTGTGCTTTTACTGTCTGAACCATTATGATCCCTGTTGGGGAATTGTGAACCAAAGTACCCAAATTTACAGAATGACCCAGATGAAAATTACAAGATTTCACTTTTTGCCTTCTACCTTTACAAGCATTAATACCAATGCAAATTAAACATGAATTTACAGACAAATGATTCTCCAAATAAAAAAGGTAAACTGCAGTTTAAGTAGGTAAAACAAATAAACAGCCACAAGTATTCCCATTCAGCATCGATGTTTTGTGCGTCTACAATATGCTGTTCTTTATTCACATAGGGTGTGCCAGGAGTCCTATCTAAAGAACACATTCTCCAGGTTTCACTTGCGTGGTTACTATCAGCAAAGTACAAGTTTACAAACCCTTTCCTAATGGTGTAGCTCTCCAGAAATTCTTTTCAACCAACTGACCAATAACATTTCAGTTTGAGCTGTGTGCAGTTTGAATAAAACACCCAATTCTTTACTGTAAGTTATTCTAACAGCTTTCCTAGTTTTGGACCATTTTAGGCTCATTTGCACAGTACCTGCAAACACTTCTGTATTTGTATGCAGACTGTCGTATGTCTCCAGCTCTCCTTTGTGCCTGGTTGGCAGCCATACCTGAGTTTGCGCATGGACCAATATTTCTTACTGTTCAATAGTTACAAATGACACCCACTCTTAGACGTCATTTCCCAACATTCAAAACAATTAGATTCCTTGAAGAGTTTTTCTTACTGTATTGCTTCCGAGCGAAAGAGCATCACAATAAGCCATTGCAGAAGTTTAAATTATCCAAGATGGAGAAAATATTTCTTACCTGTTCTAAATCATTTGGATTCACATAAATATTTTCTGGCTTGATATCAGCATGTACATATTCATTTGTATGAATGTACTCAAGCACATCAATCTGGTGAAGATAAGAAATTAACATTTTAACTAACATGTAAGACTGAACCCAAACTAGAAATATGTATTTTTACCAACACTCACCATTCTATAAGACAGCTGAAGTACTGCTTTCTTGGACAAGGATTTCTTAGTTTTATCAAGAATTGAATGCAGACTGTTACCCAAGTTTGGGAATACTAGAAACCTACAAAAATAAATTTGACAGTTAAATTGACATCCAGGTGCAAGCCCAATGAAGTATTAGTATGTAAAACACAACCAAAACAGACAAATGGAAACAAAATAGGATTTAACAGATTTGATTAATAGATTAACATCCTCAAAAAGGTGCAAATGGCCTATCCTACTTCCATGTTACACTATCTCGGTTGAGGGGTGCTCATCTGGCATCCATTTAAAGGTTTTAAAGATGGATATATGGCTCCTGTTCTCCATAGTACAGACACAAAGTCAATTTGATACGGATAGCTGAAGATTCCAGTATCCAAAACATCTAGCCTCTAGTCATTGATCAATAAGTGCAAAATATCACTTTAGTCTCCAGCCCCGAAATAGAAAATGCCAATTGGCAATGCGGAGATCTCAATACCAATTACTGGTACCAAAATACCCATGAAGAAAGTTTCAGTGGGTCCATTTCACACAACCCGCCAGCAACAGACAGCAGTGAGTCCAAGTTAATATGGCTGACATCATCCTCAACTTTATCAGCTTCAGTGACACTTTACCAACCCAAGAGTCAGTCTCAACTTCAACATTACTCAGCCAACTCAATAACAGTTCACTAACTCAAAAAGAACTCTATCAATATCAGCCACAGTGTAAACTTCTGTATCACTGAATCACAATATGTATATGTCAATCAAGGATGCCTCCATGATTTGACAAAATAGCTGTTCAGTGTCAGCAATAAGTTTGTATATTAAGTAAAACAAAATATATGTCTCATTGCATAATTAATACTTACACAGAAGAAACACTGGTTGGGGCCTGCTGAAAATTTTCTAATATGAGGGGAGACCACAGAGGCAAAACAGAATGTTGCTAGGGCGTCAGTGAAAGAAACAGGAGGCACAGCAACTTGTATGTTGGAAAAAAAACGAAAGAACTGCAGATGCTGTAAATCAGGAACAAAAACAGAAGTTGCTGGAAACACTCAGCAGGTCTGGCAGCACCTGTGAAAAAAAACCGGAGTTAAATGTTTTAGGTCCGGTGACCCTTCCTCAGAAGGGTCTGAGGAAGGGTCATCGGACCCAAAACGTTAACTCCAGTTTTTCTTCACAGATGCTGCCAGACCTGAACTTTTCCAGCAACCTCTGAACTTATATTGAGACTCCTTGGGACATTGCAGGAGGCCAAAGGCAAAAAGAACCGAGTGGGACAGGAGCACAGAATACAAAAGGCAGGCAGCTGGAAGCTCAGGACCATCTTGTGGGCTAATTGGAAGTTTTCAGCAAACCAATCATCTGGGCTGTTTCATTTCCCTAAAATAGAGGAGACTGCTTTGTCAGCAGTGAATAATAAACACTATATTAAATTAATTACAAGCAAGTCGCTATTTTGCATAGAACACCTGTTTCAGCCCTTGGAAGGTGAGAAGGAAGGCAGGTAAAAAGACAGGTGTTGTTTGAAAGGAAGATGTTGGGAAATTGAGGAATGTATTATAGATGGAATGGTCCTTTCAGCTTTTGGAAGGGAAAACGTAAGATTTGCAAATATTTAAAATGACAGAGCACAGGAAGAGGGTATCCATTTCATAGTATTAGAAAGTCATTACTGTAGGTGCCAAAGATGTCAAACAATTTAGTTTGCTGTAAGATTTAGTTTCCCACTGCACTGAATCTGACCTTTGAAAAATGTTTTAAATCTGTTTAAGTCAGATCAGGATCAGAATCTACAATAATGGTGACACATTTGTAACAACATACAAAGGCTACTTAACCAAGCTCCTGTTCACTTCAGACACAATTTACAAATCCAATCACTTTATGTGGCTCCCTTCTAAATCTACTGGCCATATGATGGAGTACCTTGTTTTGCTCTGCTCTTTACCTAATACAACCTGAATTCCAAGAACTTTGACCTTCATTCTTGCTCCTAAATGGCTGTGATTGTTCAATAGGATTTTAACTCCTTTATGGATTTCTTTGCTGTAACTAGGTTAAGAAACAGTGTTTCCATGTTTAAGTCAGTTACCAAAATTAGCTACGTTTCTGCACCAGCAATCTAAGGTACAAAATATTGAGATTTGCCACTGTACGCAACTGTGTTAATGTTGGCATCACAAGATCATTAACTTGAACACTGAAGCAGCTGAATTAACATACTGTGCAAATTAATCAAATATTCACAAATTGATATCTCTACTAATGATTCAGCTCTCTCAAATTAACGTCAGTATAATTCCTCCAAACCAATAGACTGACAAAATCATTATTTGTTAAAAAGATTATCAGGCACAGAAGAGATTAAGAGGATTTTAAATAAAATCTAGTAGTTATAAAGAGTTTAAGTAGGAAAAAAAAGTTCTCCTGGTCCTTCGGGAGACAGTCATAGAATTATACAGCATGGAAACAGACCCTTCAGTCCAACTCGTCCATGCCCAGATATTCTAAATTAATGAGGCTCCATTTGCCAGCATTTTACCCACATCCCTCTAAACCCTTCCTATTCACGTACCCTTCTAGATGCCTTTTAAATGGTGTAATTGTACCAGTCTCCATCACCACCTCTGGCAGCTCATTTCATATATGCACCATCCTTTGTGTGAAATACTGCCCCTCTTAGGTATCTTCTAAAATCTTTCCCGTCTCACCTTAAACCTATGCTATCCTACCCTGAGAAAAAGATCTTGGCATGAGTTGCCCCTCATGATTTTATAAACCTGTAAGGTTGCCCCTCAGCTTCTGACGCTGCACAGAAAACAGCCCCAGCTTATTCAGCTTCTCCCTATAGCTAAAACCCTCCATCCCCAGCGACATCCTTATGTATTTTTTTGAACCCTTTCAAGTTTAACTACATCTGGAGACCAGAACTGAATGCAGTATTCCAAAAGTGACCTAACCAATGTCCTGTACAGCCGCAACATGTCATTCCAACTCCTATAATCAATGCACTGACCAATAAAGGCAAGTACACCAAACAACTCCTTCATTACTGTTTACCTGTGACTCCACCTTCAAGGAACTATGAACCTGCACCCCAAGGTCTCCGTTCAGCAACATTCCCCAGGACCCTACCATAATATATATATTATACACACACACACACACACAAAGTCCTGCCCTACCAAAATGCAACATCTCACATTTATCTAATTTAAACTTCATCTGCCGCTCCTTGCCCATCAGCTCATCTAATCGAGGTCCCGTTGAACTCTGAGACAGCCTTCTTCACTATGCAATACACCACCAATTTTGGTGTCATCTGTGAAATTACTGACCATTCTTCCTATATTCACATCCAAAATCATTTAAGATGACAAAAAGTAGTGGACCAGCACCAATCCTCGCAGTACACCGCTAGTTGAAAACCTCCACCTCCACCCTCTATCTCCTACGTTCAAGCCAATTTTGTATCCAGTTAAAGAATTGCTAATTTTTTTCTGAACTACACATTCATACACTAACCTGCAAATATTTTCATGGAATCCAAAGCCAACACATGTCGGAATTCCCAGAAATGTCATCATATGAGACTTCAGCCATTTGTCCACTAATAAAAAAAAATAAACTAATACAAATACTGTTTTTTTGACAAATGGAGATGTCTATCAAGAACATTTACAACATAACAGACAACAAAACTTTAGCAGAATAAATTACATGATTTGTTTTAAAATTTGTAAGTTACTTGAATTGCTGTTCTAATGACATTAAGTATTTTACAGGCAGTAACTAACTTTGACAATATTTTCAAAGCAAAATATTAAGCATAATTCTTCTAAAAATCAACAATTAAACTGCACAAATTGAGAGAAATTGTATGCTGTTGTCAGATCACTTGCATTGCATGAAAAATCCCCACACAAGCTTTCTTGATCAAAATGAGAAAGTGAAGTTATATGCTCAGCCATGGTATTACTGAATGGTGAAGCAGGCACAGGAGGCCATATGGTCTACTCTTGCTCGTAATTCTTATATTCAATCTACTTTATGAGCAAAATTAATTTGGGGCTAATTTTGAAATTGCAGCAACTGGAATTGTGGACCAACATATCTGTCTAATAGCTCTATTACTAAATAGGATACTTGCAATGGTGGAACAGTTCTGATTGCCATTATCAATGGCAATTCAACAGTGGAAGTGTTCCTACATGAAGATATCTCATATTTGGAATAAAAACCACATACTCTGCACATTTCTGTTCAGCTGTGAAATGTTACAACTCTGCAGTTCTTGTGCTTGTAGTTAATAAACCAAGATGGCACAAAATAATATCTTGCTGATTACTGACTGTAAAGAAACTCAATTAACTTGGCCTTCGTATGAACGCGAATGGAAATTTAAGATTGACAGATGGCACTATGATCCCAGCTGACAGCAATGCTGAACAAGTCAGATTCCAGAAAGAAACGGGTGGTTTTTGCAATGGTTAGTCTGAAACATATTCATGAGGCTGCAAATGTTATTCAACACCAGGACACAAGTTTATTACACAAATGGAAAAGATAACCACACAGACACGCACATGCGTGCACGCATACATATTTAGAAAGATCTTAACATAAACAGAAAAACAAGATTTTAACTTGTTCTTTGCTGTCTTTTTATGGATTCTCAATTTCAGAGTTTAATTTGTACTTAACTGATTCCTCCTAGTTGATTTTCCTTGAATGGAGAAGACAGTTGTAAGATTCCTTTCTCAGTCCACTGACACAAAGATTTCACCATTATATGGTTCAAATTCTCAATTCTTGAAGACTTCTACACAAACTCTCCTGGCTTGGAAGCTCCCCAACTAACAATACTTTGGCTAGGACAATGGGTTCCCTCAAACTAAAAGTATTTTACTCAGAGAAACTTATCTTCCTTCTGAACAAAGACCACAAACTTTCTGTTCTGAAGGTCAAAACGAAACTACCGAATTTCTGATCTATTGTATACTCAGCTGCATAAACATCCCACCTACTAACACTGCATGGGTTCTTCCATTCTCTTAAATGTACCCATGCTTTCTTGAATCGAAGCACTTAGATCACTGTTCCAAATGACCTTCTGACCAGATTTTTAAAAAAAAGTCTTCAAAGAGTTGACACATGTCCACCTGCCTCTATTTTAAACTCCAAAACCCATAATGTTACATTATTCACTTTTCATCATTTATAGATGCATCCTGTGGTGACTGAAAAACCTGTAGAACCAAAATGACCCTGAGATAGCAAAGCCAAGCAGGGAGATAAATATCTTTAAATGATCATGGTTGCATTTTGGAAGTGAGACATGGATAAATATCCTGGTATTCTGAACAATTCCTATTAAGAGGTAATTTGAGAGCATATAGGAGATTAACAGATGGAGTGGTGTCCATGGTGGAATTAGGTAAATGTCGTTAATTGAAAGGTTTTTCCATTTAATTTTTTTTGATCTTTGTATAAATCATTTTGATCTTTGTATAAATCATTTTTGACTGTGTCTATACCGTAAAAACACTTTTTAAACTGACAGTAACACAAGTGCTGTTTACCTTTGCTTTGCTTTGCAGCACGCTGAAGAAAGTTTTGTTCATTAAAAATTCTGCCATCCTTAGCATCCTGAAAATATATTTGAATATGTGGCACCATTATTATATATTAATACAAATCAGATTATAGTTGTCAAATCTAGAAATTCAAGCAGATTATAACTTACCACTTTAACAGTATATTTGCACAGTTGTGATGGACCAGCCCCTTGTTGTGCTGCAAAGGTAAGACATTTTGTGAATAATCAAAATAATAATTATTTTATCAGCAACAACTTTGTCCTTCAACCCAATCAGGAGGAGAACCCCAAACTCAAATTAGCATTTGTAGAGTGTCCGTAACATAGCAGAACATTCCAAGGCACATTTCAAGAGTTACTAATCAAAATTTGACACCAAGCCAAAAGAAGAGAATAACTGGAACAAGTGACTATAAGCTCGATCATGTCATAGAAACAAGTTTGAGGGGTGTCTTAAAAGACAGCAAGGTAGAGTAAAGGAGGGCATTCTTGGTGCTTAGACAATTGAAAGGTGAATGACATTGGGGATAAACAAGACGCCAGAATTGAGAAATGCAGAGGTTTTGACTGCTACAAGACTGAAGGGGGTCAGAGGTATCCATGAATTTCAAGATTTGATCACAAGTACAGAATTTTAAACCAGAGGAGTCACTGGACTGGGAGTCATTTATGTTAGTGAACACAGGTATGATAGAGGTAGGTGATGCAATGGGAAAAGCAGCAAACATTCTTGGAGAGTATGGCATCTGAAGCTTAACACAGGGTTAAACAGGGCACTTGGATTGGAAGTAGTCTAGTCCAGCTTCACAAATACCAAGGATAGTTATGGAATTGATGACTACAGAATGAGACACTGACAGGGATCAAAAAGAATAGATCTAGTCAAGCAGTTCCAATACAGCTACCTGACTGGCATCTACTGACAAAGCAGAAGGTACACCCTGACTGCAAAAAGCAATGACAAAATCCAATTTGGATAATTACTATTCAATCAGGCTATTCTCAAACAAAAGGTAGGGAGAGTGTTATCAATAATGCAGAACTTCAACATTGCTACTTATTGGTTGATACTCCGTTTGGAACTACTTGGCTTCACATCTTACAGTGTTTGCCCAAACATAGGCAAAAGAGTTCAATTTCAGAGGAAAAGTGACTGCCTGCAAAATTGTAGCATGTGAATGAATGTTGCATCAAGGAGCCAATGCAAAATTGAATCCATTTGACTCAAAAGGAAAACATTACAGTGGCTAGATTGATATTTAACAGAAAAGAAAACTGACTGATTATTGGAGGTACTATAATCTCATCCCGATGACAATGCTGCAAAAGGTCCTCAGACCAGTGCCCTAGCCCCAGTCATCTTCAGTTTCTTCAATGATACTTCACCATAAAGTCAGAAGTGGAGTTGTTCACTAACAATCGCAAAGTGTGTAGTTCATTCGCAATGCCTCAGTTAATGAAGCATTCCATTTCTGTAGCAAGACCTGACAAACATCCAGCCAGGGTGGATAAGCCACCAAATAACATTTACACCACGTATATCAGGCAAAGTCCATTGTCAACAAGAGAACATCTAACTCCCTTCCCTTGATATCGAATAGCATTACCATTGTTGGCAAGGATGAAACAATCGCCTGGCAGCTGCCAATGAGGTGAAACCTATTTGGACCAGCCACATAAATATAATGCTTACAAAAGGAGGCCTGGAGTTAGGCAAGCTGTAACACATAACTCAAACTCTGACTCCAAAGCCTTTCCATCATTCAAGAAAATGAATGCAGGTGCCTGGATATGTGCAGCTCTAACATGATCAGCTAGGACAAAGCAGTGTGCTTGACTTGCAGTTCACTATCAATGCAAAAGTGGCAGCAGTGTCTACGGTGCAGTGGAGCGACTCACCAAGGCTCCTTCAACAGCAACTCCAAGACCTTGCATTTTAATACCTGAAGAGGTCTGCGAGCATTACCATCTCCAATTGCTGTCCAAGTCACACAACGTTGTGATTTGGAGTTATATCCCTGTTCCTTCATTCTTGCTGGGACAAAGTTGTGGAACTCCATATAAAACAACACTTTTATACCTTTATCACAGAACTCAAGAGCAGCAGGCAACTACCTTCTCAAAAGCAGTTGGCATTGGGTAACAAAAGCTGGTCTCGCCAGCAATGTTTCACATTTGCAAACGAACAAAAGGAAAAGCAGTTTTATTTTTGCGTTTCAAAGTTTCTATTACTTACTGCAGGATTTTAAGAGAAAGGATGACTTCTCCTACTGAGAGGCAATTGGTCATATGAAATAATATTGCTGTTATTACTAGCTGTTACAGCTTTAGAAAAATGTATTTTAGTAATTCAAGATTATAGTTTTATTTGAATTATAAATTAGATGCACCTTAGTCTGCCATTTTCTTGACAGATCAAGAAATAAACATTTAAAAAGAAGTTACAAAAAGATACTTTACACCAAAAGATATGCAAGTAACCATGATTTTCATGTTCCATGCCAGAAAAGGCCTGAAAATATCCCTGCACATTTGATGATAGCTTTAGCCGAGAAATATAACACCTACATAAAAATGTTTCTCGAGTTATATACATAAAGTACTCAGTTACAAAAATTGAAAGCATCAGGCTTTGATACAAGTGCTTCAAAGAGTCATGAAATAAACTGCAAAACACAGTCTCATTGCTATACAGCATAAATTCCAGTTATGAAATTACATTTTACTCTGCAATATCATGGTGAAAATACCTGAATAAAGCAATCCAGATTCACTGTCACTCGGAGTGAGAAGCTCAACAAGTTTCCATTTTTTATTGTTCTGATCAGTCAGGATTGTTTGCTCTGGAATTAGTTCCAATGGATTGATTTTCTGGCGTTTTCCTTTGAGATTTCTTGAAGCTAAAAAAGGAACAACATTTATGTAGCCCAGCGCTGTTTATTTTTGATGGCAGTGTATGGACTTGAAATAGGACAGTTTGTTTTCAGAGCAGTTATTTTCCTTTTGAAGAAAAGGAAAAGCATATAACAGCACCATACAGATGTGGTGCAGGAAATCTCAACTATTTCCAAATAAAGGAGTACGAAAACACAAAGGACTACAAACTACACTGAATTTGCTGTCCTCCAGTACACTTTGTAAAAACATTCTTTTACGTATGTTAAAATTGACACAGCTGGGACTTGGAAACCCAAAATTCAAACCCAGCAAAAAATCAAATCAAACAAACAAGGCTATGGAAATTGTTTTGTACAATTGTTTTGTACAGTACTGCATGTAATTTCTCTGCTTCATTAGAAATTAATAGCGACAAAAAAATGTCTGGTTAGAAGCCTTGCACGCAAAACTGGTATCAAAAGGGTTCTCAAGCAAATAAAGGTGAATCAATAGTTTCCAAATCCTGGTGTTTCATATTGAATCAGCAACTTTATTTAAACACAACCATTTGATTGGATCTCTTCCATGGTGAGTACTTACCAGGTGAAAGTTTTGTAGGGGAACTTTGAAAACTCGTTTCCATTTCTCGTTTTCTCTTTGGAGAAGCTATCTCCCTTTTCGGATGGATTATTTTCACAGGGGTGTGCTTTGTTTTGGGCACCTCTGCATTGGGGACAGTCTGAGCTGAAAGGAGAGTGAAAATATAACCATTTTAAAGACTACAGCATAACGTTACAAAGTATAAGTAACCTTTAACACTTAAAATTTAAAACGTTAGCAACCAAGCAGCGCAAGTAACGGGTGCTTAACTTGTACCAGCGCTTGCCACAGAAATCAAGACAAATGAACTTGTTTCGCAGGCTCTATAGACAAAGTTCCAAGTGGAAGAAAGACATTTCTTTCAACAGGTAATTGAGCTGGGGGCATACAATGCCAATTATCAACAATTAACTAATAACTTCATTTACAATGTAGTAAAATGTGTCAACGTGCATTTCAGAAGGAAAGACAGACGAAACATGAAGAACTTTGAAAGAAGGCAGCCAGCGTTTATTACCTATTCTCAGCTGTTCAACAGAAGGTAGTGGTGAGCTATCTTCTTGAACTGCTGCATTCCATTTGATGTGGGTACACTCAATGCTGTTACGGAGGATTCAGAGTTCCAGGATCTTGACTCAGTGAAAAACATTTTTCAAAGTAAGGATCGCGGAAGGCTTGAGGCAGCATGTGAAGGTACTGTTCCCATGCATCTGCCACCCTTATCTTTCCAGATGATAGTGGTTATGACTTGGAAATGGTTCTATTTAAGGAGCCTTGGTGAACTTGTGCACAGCATCTGGTAGATCGTCAGTATTTGCATTGTATGCCATCAGTGGTACAGACAGTGAATGGTTGTAGATTTATCTATATTAATTCACGGACCTTATCATGGAGGGGAGATGATCAATGAAGCAAATGAAGACAGTTGGGCCTCGCACACTACTCTGAGGGACTCCTGAGGTTCCACAGACCTGGGATGGCCAACTTGGAACTACCACCACCATCTTCCTTTGTACTAGGTATGTCTACAACAAGTATAATGTTTTTCCCAAATCCTATTTACTCTAGTTTTGCTGGAACACTCTGATGCTACATTTGGCCATATGTGGCCTTGATGTCAAGGCTAGTCACTCTCACTTCACAACTGAAGTTCAGATCTTTCTGTCCATATTGGATATGACTGCAATAAGGTCAAGAGCTGAGCAGACCTGGCAGAACTAAAACTGTGTCAGTGAGCAGGTTATTATGAAGGAAGTACTGCTTGAAGCAATATTGATGATACCTTCTATCACTTTATTAATGATCCAAGAGTCAATTAAGAGGATGATAATTGGTTGTGTTTTATCTGTCCTGTTTTATGCACAGGACATAATTGGATAATTCCCCAAATTGTTAGGTAGTTGCCAATGTTTCAGCTGTGATAAGAACGCCTGACCAGGGATGCAGCATGTTCTTCAGCACTAATGCTGCAATGTTGCCACAGCCCAACATTTTTGCCCAACCAGGGCCTCCAGCCATTTTGTGATATCATGTGGAGTGAATCAAATCGGCTGAAGACTGGCATTTGTGATGACAATTCCTGTATCATAGGTCATTTGCTCAGAACTTCTGGCTAACATTTGCTGCAAATCTTTTGCACTGATGTACTGGGCTCCTACACTTTTGAGGATGAGAATATCTATAGAAAAATGAGTTGCTTAATTGCCCACCAACATTCATGTCTGGTATGGCTGCAGAACTGAGATTTAAGTAATTGATTGTGGAATCGGTTACTCTGTTTAGCACTTGTTGCTAATGCTATTTGGCAAGCAAGTAGTTTATTTCATAGCTTCACCAGGTTGACAACTCATTTTTAGATATGCCTGGTGCTGCACTTCGTATGTGCTCCTGCACTCTTAATTTAAACCGGGGTCAGTGTGAGTAAATGAAAAACAATCGTAGAAAATGCTACTTTTTAATCCATCCCAGATATGACAAGTGAGAAAATCTTAACTAGAGGAACAGACATTTGAAGAATTACATCTGTGGATAAAAACCGAAAGAACTGCGATGCTGTAAATCAGGAACAAAAACAAATTTGCTGGAAAAGCTCAGCAGGTCTGGTAGCATCTATGAAGAAAAATTAGTTAATATTTCAGGTCCAGTGACCCCTCCTCAGAACTGATGGTAGCTAGGAAAATGTTGGTTTACATGCTGAAGACAGGGCTGGGGGAGGGGGTAAGGAGTAAACGATAGATGGGGATAGAACCCAAAGAGACAGAACAAGGGGCAGCACGGTGGCTCAGTGGTTAGCACTGCTGCCTCACAGCACCAGGGGCCCAGGTGCAATTCCACCCTCAGGCGACTGTCTGTGTGGAGTTTGCACATTCTCCCCGTGTCTGCGTGGGTTTTCTCTGGGTGCTCCGGTTTCCTCCCACAGTCCAAAGGTGTGCAGACTAGGTGGATTGGCCATGCTAAATTGCCAATTTAGTGTTCAGGGATGTGTAGATTAGGAGGTGGCTGGGTGGGATGCTCCAAGGTTCAGTGTGGACTTAATGGGCCGAAGGGCCTGTTTCCACACTGTAGGGATTCTATGAAAAAAACAACAGCTTGACAGACAAAGGAGTTGATAACGATCTGGCGAGGAGGGTGACTAGCTGTTAATGGGGATTTAGTGACATAGGAGAGTTCAGACCCTAAAATTATTGGACTCTAAATCGAGTCTGGAGGGCTGCAGGGTCCCCAAGTGAAAAATGAGGCATTGGTTCTTCCAGCTTGCACTGACCTTTGCTGGAACACTGCAGCAAGCCTGACACAGATGTTGGCCAGGGAACAAGGTGGTGTGTTAAAGTGGCAGGCAACTGTGGCAGATATTTGTGGATGTTTTTCTCCAACTATTAATTGACAGGAAACAAAACCAAAGTTGAACTTGGGATCCCATTGTTCACAATCAATTAATCGCTAACTTTCGACACAGAATATCATGAGGGGGCAGGGAGAAATTAATAAAACACAAACCTGGAGATGCTGTGGACTGGACAGAATCAGGCTGCACATCTTCCTCAGTCTCTTCTTTAGGTATCTTGAAACCACAAGCTGGGCAAAAATTAAAAGTAGCTTCTATCTTTTGGCCACACTCCGGACAGAATTTAAAGATCATTCTGAAAAGTTAGAAAAGGACAGGATGTTAGATTCACTTTTCCTGGATAGGATTATCTGGATCAGTAAGATGTAAAAGTACATTGCAATAAGCTTCAATAAAAGGAAGAAGAGGAAGGGGTTATCAAAATTACTAGTTTTTAAAAAAATTATGGGTAAATTTATCATTTCAGACCCAGGTGGCATTTCCATTTTAAACAAAGTGCCCCCTGGATATCAGCCTCCTCAACCATGGGGAACATCTTACCTGCATCTACCCTCTATCCCTTTGAGCACTTAAATTTCAATGTGATCACCTCTCGTTCTTCAAAACTCCAGAGTACGGCCCAGTTTGCCCAATCTCTCTTCATAGGACAGTCCTACCATCATGGAAACAAATCTGGTGTCGCTTCATGGCACTTCCTCTATGGCAGTAGCTTTTCTGAAACAAGTAAACCTAAACTGCACACAGTCCTCCAGACGTGGTCTAACCAATGTCATATACAATTGAAGCAAGACTTCTCTACTCCTGTACTTGCATCCTCTTGTAATAAAGGCTAACATTCCATTAGGAGATAGCAGGAACTGCCGATGCTGGAAAATCCGAGATAACAAGGTGTAGAGCTGGATGAACACAGCAGGCCAAGCAGCATCAGAGGAGCAGGAAAGCTGACGTTTCGGGTCTGGACCCTTCTTCAGAAAGGGTCTTC